GAACTTTAATAGACTGAAAGGCGACAAAAACACAGTTGAATAAGCATCAATTGGTATCTTATGATAATCTCTGAGGACAAAAACAAATGCAGCAATGTCTTTTCACCCTAAAGAAAATGTAATCCCTGTCATCACACTCATGCTATGATTTCTTATAGCCATCATTTTATTGGAGGAACATCAGTCTCCCACTCACTAATATTCCAACTTTAATTAAGTCTCTGGTGATTTCCTTGGAAGAATCTCAAGTGCTCAAATCCAAACAGATGGCACGCTATTTATTGCATACCTTATGCCACAGGTACTTGCTATTTCCCCCCAAATGACTTCCCAAGACAAGGCTCCCCTTTATGTATTCTCTTGGGCCTGCACGCTTCAGAATTCAGCCAAACAATACAGGGAAGTTTGTTTTAATTAGATCTAAAAATATGATATAGAATAAATCAAATGGCAGACAGACAATCCCAGGGCAGGCTATTTAAAGATGAACCACAGAGGATGTGAGCCAGTGTGGATGAATGACTTTAAAATACAGTGGGTAGCCCTGTTTCAGTCATCAATCCACAGGCCTGCATGTGGCCTGATTTGAACAGCGAAGCCGCTGCCTCACAAAGTGGAAGCCCTCATGCAGCAAACAAGGGAATTGTATCTGACTGTACACATTCATCTAGACTAATGGCATGGTGATGCACCCAGGGGGATACACAAGCTCATGTTCTTTGTTCCAGATCATTTGACTCCTCCTAACTTCCACTCGGCCCTGTCACAAGTGTAAGTGTGAGTGATCTGTTTAATCTCATCAAATATGATTAGGCAAAACACATCTCAGGATAATATCCTACAGCCCTTGGATTCAGCAGTGATACGGATGAGGCGTGAATGTTGTCGTTATAAGTCAAAAGGGGGCCACGGAGAACTCAGCCGCGCTCCACCTCTCTTAGCTCAACTGGAAAATTTGCTGTTCGAATGTATTAGAGTGAGAATACATTTAGCTTTCGGGTATTTTGACAAAAGTCCAGGAGTGTACCTGCGATGCTACTTGGCCTCACTATGATCTTTTTCTTTTCCTGCAATGACTCTTTCTTCCAAAGGGACCAGCAGGGCTGTAAACATGCTGTTATTATTCTAGCCAATTCTCCATTAGAAGCAACTGTCAATCAAGGACAAAACCATTTATACAAACAATGCCACCTCCGGCTTCTGAGGGCAACAATAACAAGACTCCCAAAGTTCTGAAAATGAAAAGGAGGATATTGAAAAATTGTGAATTTCATCTTCCACAGCTCTTTGCACCTCGCCTTTGGGTGCAGAGCAATGATTACAAGAAAACTCTTCCAAAAATATTTGTCCTGGCCAGGAAGCAATATGAGAGATGACACAATCTAATAATTCCAGAAATATCTTTCCGTCTGTCTGTATATGACTCACATATCTTGAGAACCATTCATATCATCAGCTTTATAGTTGGTGCTTGTATTTTTAAGGGCCTGAGGAAGTGCAGTGTTGAATTTGGTCCAATTTGGAAACGAGATATGTTCAATATTAATACAAATCTAATAAAAAGGTAAACTTCCCCTTGCTTTCTGTGCAGGTTTTTGGGTGGGGCAGCATCTGCAAACCAAGAACATACATCTTCTAAGTCCTCTGATACCTACAGGAACAGCTGTTTTCCTTTCCCATGATGGGTAACAAACACGATCTAATCAACCTGCAGAGTCAGCGCCACTCTGCCATTAAAAAAATCAAACTGTGTACATTTGTCATATAACTTAACAATTTGCCTATTCCAGAAATCTGTCTGTATGTGGGACGCATATCTCAAGAACTCTTCATCTTACTGACTTCACTCTCGACCTGTGTATTGTTCAGGCCCCAATGACGTGCAGAGTCGAATTCGGTGTGATTCGAGCGCACAATACCTTCAAGACTCGAGACTCATCAACTCAAGTGACATTGCCGATTACGACAAACAGCACATTCACGATAACATGCCGTGTCAACAGCGCCAAAGACAGCTGATTCACCAGTTCTGGGTTCTGCGTGCTGAATAAACAGGTGAACAGCTCTTGCTCTAGGTGAGGATACTAGAGATACGATTTGGGGTCTGGAAGCCCTCTAGCTCATGTTTCTAGTTTGACCAATCATGTTTGAGCAGGCCATGGCTGCCCGCAGTGTGAAGAGCAAACAAGGAGGAACACATTGACCGAAACGCATTCACATGCAGACAGCTGTTAAATTACCCAAAATGCCCTGGACCTAAAACATCAACAAAAAGTAGAAAAGTTTCTGTTGTTTGTGGAGAAACATTCAAATCGTGTGATAAAATTCATTTCAATTCAATCTGGTCGGACATTAACTACTCAGGCTGTTACCAGTATACGGTGAATGGAAGATGGAGGCCAGAATATCTGCAGACATTGCCCCCAGACGTTAATTCATCATCAGACTTATTCAGTGGTCTCTGAGTTCGCAACCAGCATCACCCATCGTTCACGAGTATTAAGAAAAGAAAAGAAAACAGTTTTTTGCAGTGGAGGATATTGTGCTTATTGTTATCAGTGCCACTGATATCTCATTAAATCTGCAATTAAAAACATGATCCAGAGGACGATCACCTCTTCATCACTTCTGTTGAGCGTTCACCGCGTTCGCGCCGCAATCCCACTCCATCTTTGAAATCCTTTGATCCTTTTCCTTCCTCAGCAAATCGCCCAGTGAATTACACAGGGCCATTTACATGCTTGGATAGTGAAAACAAGTGGAATTACTGTTATTTCTGCATAACAACATTGTGCCGTTAATCCAAAAAGAGAGGGCCAGTATTTGTGTCAGGGTTGGAGGGCTTTTCACGCACAGTCTGTGCCATAGCTTCTCCAGTTGTCACTAATCTACAGCAGAAGAGTGGGATGAAAAAGAAAAAATATCAGTCTGTGCTGACAACAGTCTTGTCCAAGTCGAGGAACTTTACTTTTTTCTGCCCAAGTTTTGTTGAGACAATAGAAAACAGGCAAGTATTTAATTGTACAACTACAAGGACTATTAGCTCATCACTGTAAAATCAGCATTGTGCTTTTGATGTTTAAGTGTGATAATGTTTTTATTTTTATTTTTTACAGATATCACGTTGTCCCCTGAAGGATTTTGTCAGAAACTTCTGTTCAGCTATGATAAGAGTTTATTGTGAGCTGGAGGACTGATATGGATGGTGCCTGCAGGGTGCAGGGGGGGGGGGATCAGTTTCTCCAGTTTAGTAAGACTTACAAGGCCTCCTCAGAGGTCATGCTGCGGTTGTTACATTGCCCAGGGTATGGTTCTCACATTTCTAGGGGTAAAGAGAAAATCCATTTTCCAACTCCCTTTTTTAAACAACTGCACACGAACCCCCCCTTGATATCCAATTGCTAAATTATGATGGATTCTGAGCATTATATTCTGCCAGGCATTACTCAAGACAGTCTATCTCAATTTACATGGCTTAACGAAGCACTGAGCTTTTAATAACGCGAAGGAGCGCGATAGTGGGAGCTGATGTTTATTTGAACTGGCTGAGCTTTTGGTGGTAATGATTATGAAGTGAGCAGCGGGAACCGTCTCGGTGAGAGGAGGAGACGGGGGGGAGCGAGGCACCGTGCGAAAGGAGGCAGGTGGTTGGCCGGACAGTGCGCCGGTAATGGCAACATTAGTCTGCTGGGAAGCAACATTATGCTCAAGGTCAATGGGAGCTGAAGAATGGAGGATGGTAATGACTCGGGCCCCGTGTCCTGGAACGAGATCTCTCCCTTTAAGGATGTTGAGATATTCAATATGAGCTCAGTAATCTGCAAAGGGCTATTATATCCATCCTCAAATTTCCAAAAGTTAATCTGTGTCACTGAAGCGATGCTAATGGACCATAAAAGGTCTTTTTTTGTTTTTCTAAATTGGTAGGGCTCATTGTATGGATAGTATCCAGATCACTACTGTATGTGTATGATACTTTAATCAACATTTGATTGAATCAAATGGAAGTTTAATTAGGTTTATTGTATATAACGCAAATCTAAAGACTGTTATATTTAATGTCATTATTTAGAGATTGTGAAAAGCCTTTAATGCAGATTTGCAGGTTGAATGTTGATTATCTTTGATATATTCACACTTTTTGATGTTGTGCATTCTAATATTCATGTACTTGTTTAGGTGTGGTAATTAAGAAGACATGAACACCAGTAACACCTGCACCATCTATAAATCAATCATCCACCTGTCTTTTATATTTTGCAACAATGCAAAAGCAGCATCTGCACTTCCCCGCAACATTTTTACTACTTCCCCCTTTTTTACATTTATTGCTTATTTTATTATCTTTTCTAAATGCATCCCATTTGCATTCTCCCTTGTTAGATGCCATCACTGTTTTCTTTTCCATTTATCTAATTTCCCCACAGGGATTAATAAAGTTTCATCTTCCAATTAAAGCAATCAGCTGCGTCCCGACATCCTTCACCATGTGGCACAGAGCAGTTTGCCTCCATTTCCCTCACCTAGCCTCCTCTGTGTCGTTTGTTAAAACAAGGGCAACAGCAGCCTGCTGTCCCGACATCTGTGGGTAGTTTCACAAAGACACTTCAAGCATATTGAAGTCCGCTCCAGTGAGACGGGAGGAACTCAGGGAGACTCGAGTCTTCCGTTTGTCACCCTGTATTAATGCACAAATCATGAGCAGAGCCGAGAGCCTGGGGCAATCTTCCCGAGGAGCTTCTTGGCTTTTTAATCCTAATATGAGTTAGACGTTTTGCATGCATTATTGATACTAAAGGCTGACAAATACTCGGTTTCATGGAATAATAATTACAACGCTGATTTGGTCGTGGCATCGTCCATCAACATATGCTCTCTTTTATATGTGGACTGATATGTGGGTAATAGCGTCACAATTCAACAGCACCAAGCATAAATCATGAGCGTATTTCAAAGTACAAACCTCTTGACAACAAAAATTCAAGTTGTTCATATTTTAATCCACACTTTGTCTCTCTTTTTTCTTTTTTTAACAGTGGCATAGTTGAAAAGTGAATACTCAATACTGAGAAAAAAGCAAAAACCTCACACATCCCCCATAAAAAGCAAATTAATTACAGCGATTAAAACTTTGTACAAAATGAGTTATTTATAGCATCATATTGAACTAACAAAATAACATGTATGAGCATTGGCAATGAGGTTCAATGTCTTTGATACAGTGACTATATACAAGTGAGGGGATGTCTGATTCACCAATGCCTCAACATGTCATTAGTACTGTTTGCAGCAAACTCAAAGGCCATAACGGTGATCCTTGTATTGTTTTTCATGGTATGTTTGAGAATTAAAAAATGGAAAAGTTAATGTCAGACAACTACTTTAGTAATAACAGCAATAATATCAATCAATATAGCATTATATAATAAATGTCAATCAATCATAATAATAAATACATATATTCTGACCAGATTTTTTCTTTTCTTTTTACATTTTAAGCAATTAAGCAATGAGAATCCCTGTTTGAAGAAATCTTCAAAGTATGAAAACAATCTCATCAAAATGACCTGAAATGAAAAGATATAAGCAGTGTTCTTTTCTTTCACTGAAATTGAATACTTACACATTATTTACACACCTTAGAGCAAAACAACCTCTTGTTAGATCAATGGAAAAAGAAAACATTTGAGACTCATGGAATACTTTAACTACTGTATATGCTAATATACAAACTGTAATGTGTCAGGGATCCCAAGATTCAACAATATTGTTCACCAATATTCACGTTGGCAAAGTATTTTACAGCAATATCAACACATTGAGCATAGTTGTTCAATAAAATCCAACATAAATAATGAACCCCCACAAGGTTCCACTCACTCGGTTTGGATCTTACATATGATCGCCAACAAAAATTAAAGTTCCTCATCCGTGACAACAACTGTGTACTGAAATCTTCATCGTGTGTCTGACACCATCTCCCCAACTAGACTCATATTGAATCCTGAGACAGTTGATGTGTTTTCCCTCTGTTTTAGTCCTCAGACTTTGTGCTTTAATTTTCTGACTTGTTCTCAAAAATCAACAGCATGAGTAAAATAAAAGAGAAAGAAATCATTGCAGGAATAAACAGGCAGCGAGAAGTGGGAGTCGATTTCATCTGGAGACAATCGCATTGATTGTGCTTCTACCTTTTATTTTTTGTGTGTCTGGTCTGCTTTGTGACGTTGTTTAAAAAATGTGCAGTATGGCTGCGGAGGGGGTAAAAACTCCAGGCAACACCCGAGACCCTCCGATCTCTAAAGAGATGCTTCTGATGTCAATGTCTGATAAATCAGTGGATTTAACATAATTTGTTCTGAAAGCGAAAACAGATCGAAAATGTAAGTCTTGACTCTAAAGTCGAACTGAAGCACATTTCTGGTTGCATCTGAATTTTACAAAAAAAGGAATTCTGCAAAAAGTTAGAGAGAATAGAGATTAAGCAAGCGATAAAAGAAATACAGAAATGTATACAGCATTTAGGCACCGTACAACTGAAAGGGACATGATCCAACTGCACATGGGGCACATTGCTTACAAAAGGAGAAGGCTATATTACCAATGGATACTTACAAAACCAGCGTGTCAGAGCATGAGCTTTTCAGAGCAGAGAAAAGAATATGAAGTTAAGTAAAACAGACAGTGATGCTGAGGCAAGTAAAAATTGCATGTCTGCTGTCACAAGTTGTCATGAAACGAAGGAAAGGAGTGTAACGGAAGTCTAAATGAAGTACTCTTTCTTTTCCTCTGCATGCACGTGGTTTCCCTCGGCGTTGATGATGGCTGTGTCGGCATCTGGGGCGTCCTCCGCTCCTTTGGCCTCGTGCGTTAGATAAGTCCCTGCGGACCCAAAGCGAGTTATCCACACACATTTCCTCCAGGCAAGTAAATTGTTATTCAAGGCAACTCCGGCGACCTATTTTACCTTTATGTCTGGCCAGATATCGCCCAAGAACTATTATCAAGCACAAGGTGATGAAGACCACGACTGCAACAACGCCGCCGATTAAAGCGTGGTCAGGTCCGTGTTGTCCCAGAGCATTAGGATCTGAAATGAGCCAGAGAGAGAGACAGGGAGGGAAATGTGGAGAGATGATATTAACACCTGCAAGATGTTGGGCTGGAGTCTCATGCAGCTGCAGACATTTTGCTGAACAGCGATGAAAATATTTTGCTCCTTCAATTATTGTGATGCAGCTTTTTTCTTAGCGAACAAAGACTCAACAGCCCCAAATGAGCATCTGCCATATTTAGAGCAACCTGACGTCGCTGCTTTGAAGAGCTTGAGTTGATGTATAAAATGAGTAATCATAGGAAATACCACAAATCTCTTAACAATTGAAAAAAATCTCTCGTTTGTTGGACTTTGTGTTTTGCTTGTTTCCACATTCTTCTGCTGAGGAAAAAAGATCTGTGTTATTTAACATTAGGCGTCCGGGGCAGAGGGCGAGCTGAGGTTTTCCCGAGGCAGCAGCATGCCTTTGTGTCAGTTGTGTAATAACCCCTTAAGTGGCTGTGTCTTTACCGTGCACCTCGTGCGCTCTCATTATCTCAAGCTGATGAATGGCTTGTGCTCAGGTTTTGCAAAGTGACCCTGGGAGATGACGACGGGGATGTTCCTACAAACCTTGTTACGCTCTTCTGCAAGCCGCATTTTCAACAGCCCACAGGGAGGCAGGGACGTTAAAAATGACACACACATAAAAAAAAAAAGAAAAGATGAAATTGTGAAACATGCAGCTTAACTCCATGCAGAATGGAACCACAGCTGTTTTATCAGGGATTCACAGGCAGGCACTTCAGACTTCCAAAGCAAATAACTGTTAATAACTGCAACACTTGAATTAACTCAGTTTTGGTTGGATGTCGATAGATATAATGACCTGTGCAGGTGTTCCACTGTCAACAAGGAGCATAAGCAATTTTCATATCACACTCGAGACGAGCAGAACAGCTCGGGAGTAAATGACCGTTAAGTATTTATACTTGTCCGACTGGGTTTTTGAGCTTTAATTCACACGTAAATCCTCAGACAAGCTACAGATGTATAATCAATACAGGGCGCAAAGTATTTCAATGACTTTGTGAAACACTAAGACGACATTTCAGATGCGACAGTCATCTGGTGTTTAGTTACATGAAGGCAACTTGAACTCTTTCTATTTTCTTTTCATCCTGCCTCTCATAGACACAACCCAGCTATTTTAAACTTAGCAAAATAACACACCACACACGAGCACATCTAAATAGATTTAAGTAAATGTTCCTTGAAAACTGTTATTTGTGTGATAAGAAACGTGAGCGGTAGAAATAAGAATTTTGGCCGTTCCCTTCCATTCACTGCCAAAACTCACATGATCTGAAATCAAATATTTACACAGTGGCACAGATACAATCTCCAGCTCAGCATCACTCGGATTGCACGATGGAATAGATGGTTCTGAGACAAAGCAAACCAAAAAACCTATTGTGTGATAACTTATGCAGCCTGTGACACGGCTAGAGAGGAAGCGGCTGGCATCAGCAGAGTGAGCATCCATGCATGGTGATGGCTTGGCTCATGCTGGGTAAAGGCCGTGATGTGTCCTGACCCAGATCCAGATCCAGCATCACACTGTAAATCTGGCTTGCAATGATCATCTAGTGGGATATTTACCTGCTGTAGGCCCTGGAAAGTCTTTGGCTGTTGCCATGGTTGCAGACAGTGATAGCAGTAAGGGAAGACGAGGGGAACAACACCGTGATAAAAAAGGATGGCCACAAGGTTCAAAGGAAACACGAGAAGTTAACATGGTATTTTTTTAGTTTTCACTTTGACTGAAGTGACGGAAAGCGAAAATTGTAAATACACGCTTAACTGGAGTCACTGGAAACAGTGACTGGGAGAGGAGCACAGGAAACATTGATGATGAAGAACAAATGCATATATACGGAGATTTTCTTCATGTGACTGGTGCATTCTTAATGGGTCTGTTCACCAAATATCACAAAGAATTGCTCTCAGTGGTTTGTAACAAGATGCAGATAGGTTTGGTATTTGCTGCATCTCAGAAACAAGTCTGTTTTTTTACCTAGAGGGTTTCATTTTAACCCTTGCCTGTTTGTTTGCTTGTTTTGTTAGCAGGATAATGCAAAAACTACAGAACAGATTTGAGAATGGGACTTGATCCAAGAAAGAACTAGTTTTTTTTATATTTTCACCATTTTCCCAGGAAATAATTTCTGACTCTTCATGCAAGTTTCATATAGGGGGGTTGGATTTTTTTGCAGACGATGTAAGGTAACAAATACGGCTTCAAACCTGTAAATACCAACAATGTTTAGCAGAGATAATGTGGATTCAATAGGGTCTTAACAGTTTATATGTTCCTTCAATAGTTATAGAAATACAAATATTTTAAAAACGTGCAAAGTAAAAGCTAAGTGCAAGCCTATGCAACACCAGAGGTACAGTATTGCGGACGTCATACACCTGCACCTGAGTGTTAAAAAAAGAGTCTACAAATATCGTTGAAAAGTAAAGTCACATATTTTATAGCATTGCTTCTAGAGGCCAAATCCTTAGAGTTTAAAGGTCCCCTGTGGATTTTGTTGTTTGTGTGTTTGTTTTACCATTAGTATTGCCTTGGATCAAAGTGTTAAAGAGTGGTGTCCTGTTTTGTTTGGGACTGTGCACAGACAAAAAGCTCCACGTGCACGGACACAAGATCCTGCAGCTATACTAAAACAATTTTGTTTTTGCAAATATTTCATATGAAAGAAAATACATTCCAAATGTTTTTGCTGCACCTCAAGGAATGAATATAAACACAGTTTCTGTTTGTTTGAAAGAAAACCTTCCGCGGGTTGATTATCAAAATGAAGCACGTCCCAAATCTCGGTAACCTCTGTTTTCTTGCACAACATCAAAGCTTCTCCGACTGTTAAAGCAGCTACTTTGCATATTTTACCTACAGAGAGCTGTTGTGGCTCAACACGACAAAGTCAGACACAGACACTACAATGCTAATTACATTAAAAGAGATGAAGTGAGGTAAACACACTGGTTAACTTTGTGTGAACGTAATTGTAAACGTGTATAAACATTGATACTTTCTATTTTCTGCTCCTGCAAAGATGATGTTCTGTGCTGCTGGTTTACAAACCGTCGTAACGTGAGTCGGTAACTTACTCAACGAGGTCTGCTTATTGACAGCTTCCAGTTATAACTCTAATCAGAAACAGACATAAAAAAAAAACGCTGGTGGTGAAGTAACAGTGCTGTGTATAAAAATGGAAAGAGAGTATTGAATTCATCCAGAAACACAATGTTATTTTCTATCTCAAAGCCTGGTTGTTAGCTCATCAATCATCAAGTGTGTGTTCGGTGTCATGTTCGTGAGTGCATGGAGCGTTGAGGCGAGGGCATGGGGGGGGGGGYGGGGAGGGGTGCGAGTGTACCTGCGAACACAGCTGCCTATGCCTGATGTGGGAATGTCGGCATTAGCAGACTGGAAGAATGGAGGCTAGAGGGGGAGGCAGGGGAGCTGGAGATGGAGGGTGATGACGTCTGCTAAATGAAAACAGGAACAACGTGGAGCAAAAAAACCAAACCTATCCACAGGGAACAGGCTCAACGTGAGAAAACCCAAACAGCACAAATCAATGACTGCGCGTGGCTGCTGAGGCTTAATGCTGATCTTTCACCTCAGTGAATACAAGCAACATCAAACAAATATGCACAGATGATGAAATGCAAGAGTTGCACAAATGACTCAAGCTCTGAATGAATCAATTCTTTCAAAACATATCTTTGGGCAGAGGATGAGTCATACATGAAGGACTCAGATTTCTTCCATCTGTTGTATTTTCCAGCAGCTGATGATTGGTTGGTAAATGGGCGGCACACACGGAATGAAAGACTCAGCATGTGTCACGCTCGTCGAGGTGAAAATGTACAATGAATGAGAAAATATGTGAGAGCAGAGCGCGGCCGCGGCTTCACGACACGCGCGCACGTCTCTCAGCTGCATTTAAGCAAACTGCTATCTGTTACCATCTCCCCGGCTTCTCAGACAGAGTAATTATCATGTGTGGCGTTCCCCCGCTTTATTTAATACAGTGTATCATGGAGCATAATCGGGGGAAGATGATGAATTGCGGCTGAGCGATAACATTTATTGCTTCGTAGCTCTGCTGTCATTAGTAAATTAGGCTAAGAGGCTGAGACGCTGCAAAAGGACCCGGTAAGTATTTAGCCAGACACAGTGGTGCTGAAGAACGACTGTTGTCATCAGGGAAACGAGGAAGTCTCACACGTCTTTTACCTGCTACACTCAATCTTAGGACCCGGGATCTTTGTGTTTTGCTGTGCGACAGCTCCTGAGGGTTATCAGTTTCGCTTTTGCCTTGGTTAATCTCCCAAAGAGTGAGAAACAGCTCCTTGGCACATATACCCTATATTTCTAACAACAAATTTGAAATATATATATAATCTTAAATAATGCAGAAATCTCCCTGACTGTGAAATGTGAGGAATAAAAAGCAGCACATGGCACCCAGATATGACAGGATGATATGGACAAGCCTGACATTGCTGCCTTACCCTGTTCATTGAGCATGCTGACAGAAGCGACTGAGATAACAAAATCTGAAAGGGACGAATGTGTCGTCCTCCTTTTCCTCCAGTGTTTCTCTCCCAAAAGCCTCTGCCTTTAAATTTGAATAAAGAAGCTGCCGTGCATCCTGTAACTGCTTGTGAGCTTGAATAAGTCCATCACCAGAGCTGTGATAAGTCACTCCCAAGCAAACTGCACTCTCATGTGGGGACGGTTTAATTGGCAAAAACAAGATGAATTTATATATTCTGTCCTTGTTCTGTAATTTTTTGGACTTGGCTGTATTTGATAAACATTACAAACATGTGCTACAGAGGCCCTAATGATCCGTTTCCCACACCACGCTGTCTTTATTCCCTCCACTGTCTCGGATTAACTTATCTCTCCTCCAGGCAGCACTTGGAAGCTAAATTCTGCATCCTTAACACTTTTTTCCCCATTTCCTCACAGGGGAGGGTCCTAAAGCCGAACCTGTGTGCTGATATGTGTGCAGTTAAGTAAACTGGTTTATATCCTGCGCAGTGACAAGGCAAGAGAGTATGAAACTCGAAGAATTGTTGTAAAAAAACAGGTGTCATGCACGACTATGGATGATTGTGCTATACATTACATAACATAAATTTTGCTCCTAAAATACGATTAACATTAATCTGAATTAAAGATATTTAATGACAACTGAATTTACTATACTATAAATACTGTGGCCGGCCATGTTTTACTCTATTTTATCAAATTATTTACAGATACAAAGAAATTATTTATCAAACTAATATTATAATGGATCATACCAGTGTTTTTTACATGTCTTATCCCATTGACTACAAATCACTTATACCCTGCTGAGGTAGAGCAAATTGTCATTTAATTATGTGGTGGGAGGTTTGATGTTAATTCCTAAACAGGACAGAAAACCAGATGGAGGCAAATTTTAAAACTTAATATTCGACTAAGATCAATTTGCAGCCAAAAGATGGTGTTAATTCTCTTTTGAGATTTGCATTTGTTAGCCTGTCATAGCACAATAACACAGTAGTAATATATTGGCAACAAAATTTTGTACAGATTTAAGAATAAACTTGATGAAGGATATCTTTAAAAAAACGTTATGGCAACCAAGGGCTGTTTCAAATGTTAACAAAATAAAATCAATCTAAAACCTGTTTTGAAATAGTGTCGAGTAAACCTGGTAGTTATGGAGCTTAACCTTGCAAACTCACTGGCAGAGTCTAAGTGTTTTTTTTTTTCCTTCATCCAAACCGGTGCAGGTCTGTACAGCCAGAGGAACGATAAGCATTATTCAAGGTAATTGTTAATGACTTGATAAATCAAATTTAAAACATATTTGCAGATTTATACATTTATCCATTATAATTATCTGTGCATGTGTATCCTTCACGGGGGCTGTGGATGACTGGAGTCTGTCAGTTCCTGAATGAACCCTAATGACTGGTAAATGATTGTCAGTTGTACGTCTGCATACAAAGCCGGCACTGAAAATGTACCGTAAACACGTCTTCCACACTCGATTGTGATTTGATAAAACAACTGTCATTTCCAGGAGACATTAACATCTTTCATATTCGAGGTGTTAATGCTTTGTTATCCTGTTTTTTTATCATATACCAGTGCCATATATAAATATGACCTCTTTAGATTATGTAGCAGGACTGATAAGCCCCCATGCTGACTTTATATTTTTGTTATGACTGCCGACCATCTTTGAAGAACTGATCATCCATAACGAGATCCCGACTGAAGTACCCACCATATACAAACAGTGTATATTCAGCACTGCTGGTCCCCAGGTGGTTGCTTGCTTCACAGCGGTATGTGCCATTGTCTGTTTTGTTTAGCGTGGTGATGGTTAGCTCTCTTCCTTCCACAATCATGCGCTCAATGTCGGGGAGCTCGCCTCCATCTTTAGACCACAGCACCGGATCAGGTCTGGGAAAGAAAACAAACAGACAATATACTCTTTTTTAAAAATCTTGATACTTATTATATATTAAGCAATATAATAAGCAATATACGTATTAAAAAAGTATTATTTTCTCAAAGGAAGACGAATGGCATGGAGCTCCACAGCTTGGTTCCGGAAGTAAAAATACCCCTCATTTTCTGAGTAGAGATCTGGATTATCAGCCATAATATTGCAACCAAGTTAAGATTATCACAGGAGATAATGAAAGTCTGTTCTACACTTTGTTATAAAGTCAAGAAGAGGTACCACACTACCCACAATCCTCAGGCGTAGGAGTGACGTCTCTGATTGGTGGAGCTCACCATTTACCACAAATGCAAAAACCATGTCAGTTACAATTTGGATTATAGGATTATATGATGTTTACAACAGAGCAACTAGGATTTCCCATGACTACAGTTGGGAATGAAGAACTGCACCAAGTCCTCGACAACACAAAATGCTAATTACATACATACAAGACACAAACACTATATTGGAACACTACAGTAACAAGGCTAAATTCAAGAAGAAAAGCACAGGAAGTCGTTGGGAAGGGATCATTTGCAATGGCTTGTGGGATGTGTAGTTCCTTCACTCTTAACGCAATTATGTACACTGTACCGTTGCCCTTTTTTTTGCTCCGAATCAAATGTTTTAGGTCATGAATTCTCTCTTTGCTGGTCGGCCTGGTTCCAGGCTTAACAAGCTTTTCATAAGGATTTTCTGAAACGTCATTGAAGAAAATGAATAAGTAATTTATTTCCAGCACCAGAGCCGTTCTAAACGTGGGCACTCACTGTTAACACTCTATTTCCTTCCTTTCTCATGCTATCAACTAGCAGCAAATTGAAGTTTTACAACAACCTTTGTGACTTACATTGGGTTGCCTATGGAAACACACTCCAATTTGAAGTATTGCCCTTCTTGTGGAATTATCATCGAGTGTGTGATGTCCAGATGTGGAGCATCTGTGGAAAAAAGACACACAAAAAAATCCATTGCTATGAGAGCGCTATGTGGTAGAGGGTTTAACTCTAACACCAACAAAGTACAACAGTAGTTAGCTCTTTACCCATCGGGCAACTCGTAGCTCCAGCCCATATCCCTGTTCTGCTTTGCTACTAATCCCTTACCTGCAAACTAATCCTACACTAATCCTGAGCAAATGCAAAGCTAAACCTGCAGACATAAATGTAATCTCAATCCTTGTATTTCTTCTCAATACTAATCTTGCACCTAATCCAGCTTTGTGGGGAGTGTGTGTGTGACGGCACTCACAGTGGACCTCCAGAACCTCGGTTGTCATGTAGGGGTTGGACAGGGACACGTGCTCCACGCTGCAAGTGTAGGCGACGCCGTCGTCCCGCTTGTCCACCTGAAACTGGAGGCTACTCCTGACGGTGAAAGATTTACCTGTGGCATTCAGCTCCTTGGTCCCTGCAGACAAAAAAAACAATTGTGTCAGATTCCTTTGAATATAACTGGAGTAACAGTTGTGGCTTTTGTGAAAGCTCTTCATAGGATTAAAAAAAAGTTTTGGAGAAAAACAGAATGTTAACTGAAATGTGAGAAAAATAAAAAATGTACAGTTGCTTTTCTGACACAGAAAGCTGCATTGTTGTTGTTGTTGTTTTTCTCTGCATCTCCTTTGAGGAATAGAATCCTTGGCCTTTGAAAGTCAAGTCAAAGTGGAGTGGAGTGAGAGCGTGTGCGAGCCTTGACTCGGTTGGTTGGGTGTGTTTGCTCCTCCAGGACCACCCCTCAAACATCCCAGTCAACACACACACACACACACACATACACACACACAACGATCGCTGTAGTCACACCTTGCTTTTCTTTCCTCGATTCTGTACTTGTTTGTTTTTTCCCCATTTTGTCTTCATTTAGACACCTCTTTTTAATTGGGATTAGTATTTGTGGTTTTACGGTTGCTCGCCTGGCATCACTTTGTGTGGTGGCGTCACATTTCTATGGAAACATCTGCATCAGGCTGCTCGCTGCACCCCTGAAGGCAAAAAGGACAAAAACCTTTTTCTACCTTCCTCTCCCTGACTCAATCAATACATGCAGTAAATGAACATGTATTTATTCATTTAATCACTTGGTCTATTAAACACTAAAAGCCTTTTGCAATGAAACATAGATCACCCACATCATCTTCATCATCATCATCATCATCATCATCCTCATCATCATCATCATCCTCATTTTGGGCTGATCTGTTCCATTTGTTCCACTTTACTGAATCTCTGTGCAAGCAGATTATACCATTACATTTTTCACTATAACAGCAAGTGCAACTATTATAAAAAATGTTTTCCTAGTGGGAAGATTAAATAACAACTTATATTGTTCAGTACAGATAATCAAAAGTTTAACTTTGGTCTTAAAATAACCAAACTTTGTCTTAAAAGCTTAGAAAAGGGAGGACCAAGTTTTCATTTAAGCTTCATTAATTCTCTTTCACTGTGAATTACAATGACATCACCTGATTAGTAATTCATGAATTTTATTGTAGAGCTGGAAGTTTGAAAATATGATTATGTAAATTACCTTTTTCACAAGATTGAAACTGTGCACTTTAAATCTTTTCTGTCATATTTAATAACAATCAGTGGTGTTTGAATGTATGACACACGCACACACACACACACACACGCTCAGCAACCTCCAGGACACCTCACTGTTATTGACTAATTCATCTCATATGAGAATTTGAAAAGAAATACATTTAAACATCACATATCTTTCGAGCAAACAGGGGAAGTCAGAGGCTTTGCATTTTGCCTTGCAGTACATGAGGGGGCAGGAATTTCCTCTGTGGTGTCAAACCAAATCTCTCCAGCTTTTCCTCTCATTTGTCAAGTTGCCTGCAGCATTAGAGCTACCGCAGGGAAGCTGCGAGTCTTTAAAGGCGGCTGCGAGCATCGCCACAGAGCACGCAGCGGCAGCTTTCACGAGAATGGGAATGCGCCCAGGTGCAGCAGCTTTAAAACCAGATCCCTAAGAAATGAGCAGATCTGATGTCGGGAGGGGGGAATCTCAGTGTCTCACCAAGTTGAAGCCTCAGTGGCAGGATTTGATGTATTTTAAAGATCTACATGCAGGTGTAATAGTACTTGAGCTGGTGAGGTGTAGTTAAATTATATTTGCATTTACAGTGAAGAAAATACTTATTTGATCCCTTGCCGATTTTGTAAGTTTGCCCACTGACAAAGAATGAAAGATGAATACAAAATACAGCCCCCAAAAAATGAATGGTCTATAATTGTATGGTAGGTTTATTGTAACAGTGAGAGACAGAATTTCACACAAAAAAGCCAGAAAATCACATCATATAAGGTAGAAATTGATTTGCATTTGAATGAGTGAAATACGTATTTCATCCCCTACCAGCCAGCAAGAATTCTGACTCCCACAGACCAGTTAGATTAGTCCTCTCGCTTTAAGAAAGTACTCAGACTCTATATGAAAGACACCTGTCCACAGAATAAATCAATCAGATTCCAACCTCTCTACCATGGGCAAGACCAAAGAGCTGTTTAAGACCTGCACAAGGCTGGAATGGGCTACAAGACCATCGGCAAGCAGCTCGGTGAGAGGGACACAACTGTTGGTGCGATTATTCTGAAATGGAAGAAACACAAAATGATCATCAATCGCCTAGGGTCTGGGGCTCCGCGCAAGGTCTCGCCTAGTGGGGTATCGATGATCGTGAGAAAGGTGAGGCATCAGCCCAGAACTACACGGGAGGAAGTTGTTAATTATCTCAAGACAGCTGGGACCACAGTCACCAAGAAAACCATTGGCAACACACTACGCCGTAATGGATTAAAATCCTGCTGCGCCTGCAAGGTCTCCCTGCTCATGAAGGCACATGTACAGGCCCGTCTGAAGTCAGCCAATGAACACCTGAATGATTCAGAGAAGGCTTGGGAGAAGGTGATGGGGTCAGATGAGACCAAACTCGAGCTCTGTATGTAGAAAACAATTTCAAACTGCGCTTCTTGTGAGTCATTCATTGACCAACAATCACAGTCTGTGATGTTTAAAGAAACGTCATGGTTTCTTATCCTCTAATTTCTCATTTAATTTGCTGTTAAAAGTGTAAACTCAATAAAAATGTTCTGCCTGATTTAGCAGTTGTTATTAATGACAAATTGGTACTTGATATGCTTAATGATTAAACTTCAACTTTTTATTTCAATTCTGGTTTTCTAAGAGGAATATGACAATCCTAACTGACTTTCTAGTCTTAAACACTTCGGTTGAAATAATACAGTATATTTGTAAACACACTATATTTATATGGACTTTTATATATATTTATTCTAACAGACAGTTTTAATCCACTCATTGTCACTGGTTGTGATGTTGTTTTATAACCATTATGGCTCCAAAAAAGTATTGATCGTGAATTCAAACTTAAAAAAAAATTATGAAAAATTGTTGCAAATATGAATTAACAAGCTTAGGTTCTTCCAAACAGCAGGGGCACTGTATTTCTGTAATGATGCTGCACAAGATCAATGCCCAGTGTATCTGAAAAGTTTGCACTCAGACAATTAATTAAACAATGAAATTTAAAAGATCTAAACATGTTTACACACCTTTGTTTGGCAAATGAACCTTTTATTTGGTTTTTTAAATTAATTCTGTCATATACAGTTTAGAGGATCATTTTGATGTTTTGATTTGTGGGATTGTAAAAACAAGCAGAAAGCAGCAGACATAAGTCCTCTATAAACCTCTTCCCCCACGGCTTCTGGTTCCTTAAATTTTGATTGTTGATTACTTTTATTACATTCACCTAAATTATAAAGAGGTAAACAGATTAGTTTGCAACAGAGTTGAATTGAATGTGGAAATGTGAGTGTTTCAAAATAGCGACAACAAAAACACACCAATTGAGGCATAAATGTGAAAAAAACTATTAAAGGTTCTACAACATATGCTGGAATATTCTTGTAACGCTGCTCCAGTCTCCGATATGCTCTCGAAAATATCACACAAAAACAGAAGAGGAGAGTAATACAGGGAGTCGTTGTTTTTAACAGGTGAACAGATGTTAGACTCATAAAAGAAAAACAATACTGAATTTAATTGTGCTTAAATATGAGAAGCAACAAATCTCTCATTCTTGATGTTGATAAAAACAGGTAATTAATGCAGCGTGTGTATGAATGGGTGCCGTGATTCTTGATTTCAGGGGCTGAGGAGTGAAGTAAAAGAAGGCAACTAAGAAATATACAATAAATAAACCACAAAAAATGAATAAAATAGAAAAGTAGACACCTCTGAAAAAAATCTACAGATCTGAATGGTCTGTTTTTATATAAAACTTTTCTAGTCTTGATGTTTCAAAGCACTTTAAAGTGCTCTTACTGCCATTCACACATTCACACAGTGCATGTAGGTGCAGCACTTTCTCTGTTTCACATCACTCAGCAAAGCTGTCTGGAGCAATTTGGGGACACAGAATGGGGGAGACAGGGATCAAACCGCTGACCTTCTGGTTAGTGGACAACCCAAACCATCTCCTGAGCCACAGCTGCACTTAAATACAACACATCTCCACTTCCCCCCATTGTGAATTCATACAATAATGAGACTAAATTATCTCAGTCTTTCTGCTAATACGCACTTTTCACCAATGGTGAGTGTCTCAGCTGACACATAGTGCTAAGTTTGCCCAACTCTAGTTCTGCTTAGTTGACTTTTTTATGTCCCCATGTCTTCGTTGCATATTTTGCAAAGTGTCATATTCTTCATTTTTGGTGAATAAAGATCCTCTTTTCTTGAAAATCTACCTGTGACACTTCTTTTCCTCGCAGCTCGGTCTCTTATAAATATATAGGCCGTTTCGTGTTTGCAGAGAAAGTGAGAGTGGGTGGATTTTGTTCCTCAATAGATTACAATTTGAAGCCTGGCTGTCATTCAGTGACACAAGTAATTTGTATGGCTCTATACTCTGCAAACAAATTGTTTGACACTGGATGACAGTTACATTTTGAGGTTTGTAATGCCGGGTGCTTCTAATATAAACTGTTGAAAAACAAATCATCAGAGCATAAAATAAATATGACATGTTTTTGCTATCGCACCTGCTGTCGTTGTGGAGCTTTGTAGACTGGTCCCCCGGTGGGTATAGACTTGACTGACAGCAGACATCGGCGGCAATGATCCACCGCACAAGAACCCATGGCAAAACATGCTGCTCCCAGCACATTCCCGCTGCAGAACGCTTTAAAGCAGCGCCTACAAAAGACTTGGATCTGCAGCACTGATTGACATTCCTCCCATTTGACACTTTGACATGGAAATGAAGTTTTTAAGTCGAGCCTTCCCGTCTCGGCTTTGTTCTTCTTCTCTCTTTGACTTGGAGATGCATCACATCAGGTCTGTTTGCCCAAGCGGCTTAATAAAACTTGCCGTGCACGAGTAAAATTAATGAAAGAACATCTGTATACAAGGCAGCCGTTAAGGGCAGACGTAGGGTACATGATCTTTTTTAGAGGTATGTAATTCGCACATCACATGTCAATGCAGTCTTATACGTTAAATATAATTTAGGAACCAGGCTTTTGTTTTTGTCCTCGGATGCCTGCTGACCTGACAATGGGATGGAGGTATTACATGTTTATTGATATCTACAGAAGATGGGAGTTGGATGTGAATGGAAGTATGTGCATTGCCGCTGCAACAGGGTGGGCAAAGCAGGCCCAAGCTGAGAGGGGGCCCCTGGAAACAGCGTGTAACGTTAGTTCAAAGCAACATCTATTTTGTGAGAGCCCCTCACACCACTTTCTGATGGTCTATGTACAGAAAACTGCAGCAACACTGAGGATGGAGACCCCCTAACGAGGCCCAGAGCCACTAGCTTTCAGCCAGAATCATAGGTCAAGGTTAGGTTTGGTTGGAGACTTGAACATCTTAATGTGTGTGTATGATCAGTCTGGGATGGTTATGAAGGGTTTGTACATTGTACCTTTACTATGATTTGTGTATATTTACAGTAATGACTTATTTTAATGATAAAAACATGGATGATTGGAATGATGTGGTTTATCATGTGTTTCTCGAGGAGGATCAGTTTGGATCTAAGGACCCCAACACTCCTGGATCTCTTTTGTCATCAGTTAAACTTTGTTGGATTACATTTTGGCATTTACCTTAAACGGACATGTTCCTAAATGTTAAGAATAAAGTTTTGAAGTTTTAAAGGTTTATTTCAAGGCAGAGAAATGGATCATTCCAGTGCCTCTCGAGATGGACGGCGTGTCTGGTTGAGATGCTGTGTGCCATCTCTCCACTGGCCTTTCAGGAATCTACGTGCATGTCATTTCAACAAGAAAACTTCATATCCCAGCCCCTCTCCCATCAATCATCATGCCATGTTGGGCAGACACAGACAGAACCACCAAGAAAAAGCTCTCTGGTGCAAATCTTCAATAAAGAGCAACTGTCACAGCCAGTCTCAGCAGCAGGCTCCATTACATTAAAGAGCTGCACACAGCTTACCTCAGCCATCACATTGAGGAAAAACAGTCCATTCTCATTTTTTTAATGTTTTTGTCTTAAGTGTGTTTTGTAACTTGAAATAAGATGGTGATAAAAGCTATAAAAAGAACTTCAGACAGTTTGGGAAGAGGAATATAAGAAAGTGAAAGTACAGAAAGCTAAACTGCATCTGCTGCCAAATTCCTTTTTTTCTGTTGGGTTTTTTTCTGTCTGGGTGAAACTATGTGGCCTCCCTGAGTTTGCATTCCCATGCGTTCTTGTATCCTCTTTGACTTGTGTGACTAATCTAATCGCCGCTCCGCATAAAAAATAAAGCACTCAGTTGGAGCTACCGAGGGATTGATGGTTACATGGCTGTCGAGAAAGGATGGGAAGCCCGGTGACATCGATTCATCACATGCAAACGGTGTTGTGGGCTGTGTAGAATTTCTAACCACAGGATAAATGATCACCTGTAGTCTTTTGAACCTTATGTGATGCACAAAGCCTTTGCTCAAACTGCAAGAATGCAATTTTAATTTTTCTTATTCTTCAAATGATTTTTCACCAAAAACGTGACAAACTTGGCATTTATTAGTCAGGTCATGATATCAAACGTTTGCTAGTTCAATTCTCTAAACTAAAATGGCACATACTGTACATCTGGGAGATTTAGATTTAGATTTGGATCTGCACCAAATTGCGAACACTTGTCAAACTCAAAAACCTCATCCACATAGAAATTGAAGGTATGTTTCTTGGGTCCATCCTCAACCCTCCACAAAATGATATGGAAATTGGTTGAGTAGTTTTTGCATAATCCTGCAAACCAGCAAAAACATAACTTCCTTGGTGGAGGTTATTATATGATTCTATTCTGTGTTTGATTTAAATTCAACATTGGGTTTTGGAGGATTTTAAACAAAGATTAGATCAGACTTAACAAATAAGAATAAGACCAAGACTTCCATCCATCCATCCGTCCAGGGTCCCTGGGGGGCTGGAGCCAATCCCAGCTAACATTGAGTGAAAGGCAGAGTATCACAGGGCTGACATACCGAGACAAACAACCACTCACACCTATGGGCGATTCAGAGTTTCTAATTAACCTAACCTGCAGGTCTTTGGACTGTGGGAGGAAGCTGGAATACCCAGAGAAAACCCACAGAGGCAAGAGGAGACCTTGGAAACTACACACACAACAGCAGCAGTAGCACAACCGGCTGCGAGCCACGTGAATCATGGAGCAATGCATGAATAAGAACACAAAGGAATGACTTGACAGTAATGATGTCTCCAACAGGGTGCAAGCGTACAGAGATGAGATGATACCCTGGGAAATCTACACCACATGTACCTTGGACCTCCTTATCATTTCGGAACCACCGGATGTTGGCAGCTGGTTTGCTGCCGGATGTGGTGCACGTCAGGGTAATCACATCGCCCTCCATGGCAGGCTTGGTGAATCCTGTGATCTCTGGTCGTCCTGGTACTCCTGGGGTGCACGGAATTATAATCATAAACAACATACTGAACATACATATGTATATAAAGAGATGAGAAACAACCCAGTGAGTTATATATCCTGTATACCTCTGACAACTCAGAATGATTTACTGAATGACAGAATTCACTTTCTGATATCCATGCCTTCTTATCTTGGTGACAAGAGCAAATTGAATATTTGCTGTATGCTTTTTCCCAAACTTATTTTTCAAAGGTAGGACAAAAAAAAACAAACTCAACAACAACTTGAATTCAATAAAAAAAGATGATGGCTGACAATAAATAAGAAAAAAGTATATAGTTTATTAAATAAAGATAAAAATAAATTACTCATCCAGATTTCTGCGGCTATGTTCCTGTCAGCCTGTGAGATTCTTGACAAAGAAATGTTAAAATAAATGTAAAAAAGAGTGTTGACTATCCTTCAGCACGCCTGTCTTACAAAGGTGTGAACATATTCTCACTATTTGAGTATTTGTGGTTGTCCTGCTTGGCAGAAAATAAAATGTAGTAACACTGCTGTCTTGCAGGCTCAACTGTCAACCTTTATTCTCGTACGAAAAGGTAAAATGTAAAGCAAAACTGTTATTTTTCTGGGTGAAGGAAAGCAATGGGCTATAATCTAAAAAAGGTGCAGGTATTCATGCTGTCAGAATGTGAGGAATTAGCCACAAGTAATTGGCCTGTGGAGACTGGGCCTGTGGAGACTGGGCCAAAACGGACGTGCTCACCCAGAACAGTGAGAAAGGCCTTGGTGGTCTTGACAGGCATGGTGAAGAGCGAGCAGGTGTACTGGCCCTCATCTGACAGGCTGACGTCACCGATTCTGATGGTGAGCTCCTGCGACGTGGCTCGCACCAGCTCGATTCTGTGGTCCCTCAGAGCTGCACCGGGAGATGGAGAATCACAGAAGGCACAGGAAACAAACAAACAAAAAAAAAGACAAGGAATTCATTAATGGGGCAGATTCAGCTGTGCCATGTCAAATTCAGATGACCTTTACCGGAACAAGGTCGCTGGTACACTGCGCTTTCATTTATTTCAAATTGTTGTCAAATGCAGTGAACACATAGCGTGGCCAATGGTTTGAGACATTCGTCTGAGATTTGCATTCCAGGCTGACAGTCTTATTCACAGTCAGTGAGAATACAGAAGGTATCAGTGGGACGCACTGAAGCGTAGCAGCACAAAAAGCTTATAGTCCTAGATTACAATATTTATTTAGAGTACATGCCACATCCCAGGCATTGATTTACATTCACTTAAACACTCTTAGTAAATGGTTCTGCTTCTGACATTTCTCACTCACTGATACTAAAACCTTGGCGTGGACATGCAGAGATCCAATTTTCTAAGATATTTTTGGACATTTCACCATTTATGATAGGACGAGTGAGCGTGAAATGGGGAGAGAAAGTGAGGCAGACATGCAGCAAAGGGCCAGGTTGGATTGGAACCTGCGGCCACTGCAGGAGAGCTCAAGTCTCACCGCCCCACAAAGTGAACCTCTATATCATTATCATGTCTTTGGGCTCAAGTGATATCTTGTCTAAAATGTATCTTAAAAAATTTGTTGTTGCAGTCGAGCAACTGTTATTCACTGGAATTTGAACAGGTTTAATGTTGACGAATGTTTGACAGAAAAAAAAAATGCAAATAAAAACTACATTTCTGCAAACGTTGTTTTAGAAAAATATTCCTCCAGTGGCACCTTTGAAGCTTCGGATGTTCAGTCATAGTTCAAACATACTTTGAGTGATCGACGGGCAAAACTGACCACGTGGGCGCTGCAGGAATGCTGAAGCCTCCGCATCCCATACAGAGAACCTCATAGTCCACACTTACAGTAAAAAAGATAAGGTGATTACATACTGACAAGGGATGAGCAATGATAAAATGAATTTATTAATCATCAAATTGATCAGAGTTTTTTTACTGTTTTACAAATGTATCTTGTCGCAATTGTCATTTGAAACAACTTCTATTGTGACCCTACTGGAAATATAATATTAACTATTGCAAACTATTGCATAACCATGGAGCACACTTATTGATTATTACATTTTTTCATTATTTCATTTATTTGTTGTATCTTGATATGCACCAAAAAATAAGAATTAAAATTCGGAAAATAGACAATACTGTAATTAAGTAGGTGCTACAGCAACAGTACATACAGTAGAAATCAACAACTACAACTAAGGTAAAACAACACATTCATCATCACCGTGAGATTTCTGAAACACACAGCTTGAAATAAAACCTTTTGTTTTCCTATAATACCGGACACATTCACTGCTGCTCATTCAGATGTGACTACTCCCTCATTAACCTAGGAAAACCATGTAGCCCGGCTGAGAAAGGTCATCCTGCACCTGTCATCTCCCATACAATTTGAAATTCAGAATCACCTGTTCCTACAAGCGAGCGACCACGGAGAGCAGGGAGGGAGAGTCTTCATCGAGTAAATTACACATTCTTAATCTTTCGTCCCTTCAGGCCTGGCCAGCTCCCTCTCCCCGGACACTCTTTCATCTGAGCTAATTTGAACTATATTGGATTGTACAACCAAAGCAAATCTGGCAAAATGCAGCAGGAGTGGGTGCACATTAGGATTTAATTAATGTGGTCAATGCAAAGTGGCGTCCTCGCAGATAAAGAAGACAACTCTATGAAAATCATTAATCACTGGCTCCATCCCCATTTGATTTCAGTGATAAACGTGCACGGCAGCCATGTGATACACAATTAAATTAGATTGGCTGAAATGGTTATTAGATTTACACAGACGGAGGTCATTACCAACAACGCTGTTCTTCAGCTTCAATTACACCATAACATTTGATGATCGTTATCATATAATCACACACATGCTAAAAAGGGAAAAAATAAAGATCGTCTATAAAGATATTTATGGCCCTGAGAAGTTCCTTTTTATAGACTCTTTGTTATCCAAGAATAAAGTGTAGCGTAAATAAATGCAATTGTCAAGCCAGAATTAAAATTTAATAACAAGCTGTGCCTTCGGAGTTCCAGCTTATTATCTGCTATTGGGCTTAATACAAACATTTGGTCGTCTTACTGTAGCAAAGCACATCCTGAAACAAAGCTGCCTGATGTTCTTTGTAGTTAAGCATCCTCACTACAGAGCCTGAAAATGCCCAGAGGCTCAGGCAGAGAAGAGCAAACGCTTTGGTGGATGGATGCATTGGGGAGGTGATGGGGTCTAAGCAAACATTGTACAGGAACTCAAAAGATATGAAAGTGCAGGCTGAGAGGATCAAAGCTTTGGACAAGATGACATACTGTACTTCCCCCATATCCCTCTATCTCTGCTACGGGGCTGAGAAAAGACGAGGAGGAAGAGACCCCCCCCCCGTTCCTCGAAGCACAAGCACCTCTGAGATTCTGATAAATGATATGACTGTTTACTTGAGAAAGGAAAACTGATATCTTTTGGTTAAAGGGATATTCCACTCAAAAACTGTGAGCATAACATAGGGTAGTTATTTGTGATCGACCCAGCAGCTGTGATATGCTTGAATTTGTCTGTTACAACAGATTTAATAAAACAATAAAAATGGGGAAAAAAATGGCCATGAAAAACGTCTCTCAAAATATCCTCCAGTATTTCCTCAATCGCCCCCTGGTGGCTGCCTGCAACACAGGCCATAAACCTAGAACATGGAGTAAACACAACAGTCAAAGAACACTTCAAATAACTTTATCTCAAAGATGATTTCTGTCATTTTAGGTAGATGTTTTTTATCACGATGATGTATGTTTCTGATAAGTTTGGTTTATTTGATGCGATAAAATCGAGCTGAGCCGTCCCCTTTGACAGCTGAAACCGACTCGCGATGAGTTGAGCACTTGTATCGGCATGGCCCATAATCCCTTGCTTGCTAGTGTGAAGACACTGAATGCAGGAGATAGCAGCGTTCGATATTTTGGCTTCACTTCCAGGTAGTGGGAGGAAGTGAAGCTGTGACATCCATCTTTATTTACAGTCTTCGCTGATGGACCATGGACAAGTGGATTATGGTGGTGGTTTCTTTGATTTCTTTGTTGAAGCATAAAGACAATAAATTCTATTGAAACTAATACGAAATAAAGTTGAAGACAACAAATACTCACTGGAATTACCAGAGTTAAAAAGCCTTTTAGCACTGTCTGATAGTCTATAGATGTAGAGTATTACTTTAATTACCAAACAGTGGCCAAATACACTACAGAGCACTAATAATTTCAAGTGACATTTAAAGTACCCAATAGGCTGCACGTCATTTTATCTACTGAAAAATATCACATAGCTATAAAATTCAGTGGCTTGAATACAGATGGGAATAGTTTGAAGTATAGGCAAAGAAACAACTTACAGTTAAACAAAAGATGGACTTGAATGATGCATTTTTGGTCGACAGCCAGTGGCGCTGGAAAGCATGTGGGTCAATGACATATTGATAGAATGAGATGAACAAAGGTTTGAATAACCCAAAGACAAGTGTTATCTATTACTCAAACAGAATATGGCCACAAAACCATACCACTAGAATCCAATTCAAGCCAGAGGCCTAGAATGTGGGCAGATCCGTCACAATCAGACCCAAATGCCAGCGGCTGACAAAGCTTTTTTCCAGGTGCTTTAGGAAATCAATGTGATGAAAAGGTTCATTTCCCCCAAACCCTAGATAGGTCCTGTGCAGTTCATTCTGCTTAGGAGGAAGCATAAATCTGCACCCTGACCTTGTGTATGCTCCAGCCTTGCAGCATGGCAGCTTAATGCGCAGTACATCTTGTGTGATGGAGGCCTTACCAAGGCTGTCTCAAATCAGTAAAACTGACACCCTGGCTCCCCCTCAGGGCAAGGGATACTGTTGCTATGGCCCTTTGATGCAAAGTAATGTTTGCCTTGTTTCCCTGATAGCCCGTTGCTCGACTGACCATGTCAGTAAAAGAGTTATCTGAGGTCTCCTGAGAAGACTGCAGTTGATCAGATTCAGTTTTAACAACCTCAGTCCATTTTGCTGAGAGTTATTTGAATGTAAGATGTCCGAGATTCTGTTTTAACATGTAAAACAGCTGTTAAGAAGATTTACTGCAATATGGTGCATTGTTCTGTCTGGTTGGTGGCTACATCTCCTCTGTTCGGATAAAACTGGAAGCAGGGGGGAACTGGAAGTGCACTTATCACATGGCAGTCACTTCCTCACTCCAGAGAGCAGCAGGCAGATGTTACACAATACTTCAAATCCAAAACCATGAAGTATCTCCTGACAATCCAGACAGAAAAGGAGATTTTACATCTATCCATTAGTCTTGGAAACAAGCCGATGGCTGTTGGGTTCAGCCAAATAGTGTTACATCCGTAATACAGAGTGTCCCCATTTGGCCATTTTTGTATGACCTGTAACCACTTTGAACCAGTCCTGGAATGTGAAAGCACTAGCTGTCCTTCAGTGAGAACACAGAGCCCTGGCGCACCCCCACACTCTCCAGCCAGGGGCTCCACTCTTTGCAATTAGAGTGTGTTTGCTGCTGGCTGTGCTCGCTCAGTGGCTGTGTGGGCGATTCTGGACGTGTTCCAGGGCTAGTGGTGCAGGCAGGGGGCTCTTTCCCACCACACATGTGGCTGCAATTAAGAGAAGGAAAGGGCCTTGTTCCAGAGGGCCATTGTTACTGCCCGCACTCTCAGAGATCCCACAGAGCAGATGCTCCTCAAATTGGACTCATTTTCAGCACTTGAAGGAGGAAAGGATAGAAGAAGATATTCTCCCAGCAGCCACGCTATGTCCTCTTTTCAAGTGGTAAATAATGAGACTGAATATATTTTTGTCCATCCATTTTTCAGCCCACTGACATAAGCCTGATTGTACACTGTGGG